CGAGGGTTCTGTTTACGCTAATAAGGAAAAGTTGTAAGAAGTTACTAGCTGTGTGTACCTTTGAAGTCTCGTGAGCCGTGTGAACTGGTTAGACGGTGAAATCAGCAGAAGAAAGAAGGCAGCCTAAGCCAGTTATAACCTATTGAAGCATCTCTACTGTATGCCTAAGAGAATAAAGAAGGAAGCATTCGATTGAACCATCGTACCGGTAGTGATTTACTGCACTGAATGTTGTTCATCTACTACAGTTGAGGAAAACGGACCGGAAGTCATGCAAAGAGTGATGGAATGTGATCCTCATCTGGGGATGGCCTTCCAAGCGCTTAAATTTAACAACTGCATTAAAAAGCCTGATTTATGCCTTTTACGAAGCCACTGCCAAATTAGTCGGCCATGTTGCAAGATCCGAAACAACCGGTTTACGAGAAGAATTTCAAACTGAGTTCTGCTTGACTACAGTCGTCCAGGCGTTCGTCCACGAGCATGTTATTTCGAGCTGATTGTCAAGTTAATTGACCAGCGATGGAGCAGAAAGCAGAGAACAGAGAATCTTGGAGGAGCGTCGACTCGAGTTCATGGTGCAGCCATGCCGAAGACAAGTCAGATAACTGATTGTTCTTTTCTTGTCTGCTCGAAATCAGTCTAATATTATGGAACCTCATAAGTAATGAGACCAAAGCCCAGAGGATTTAAACGGCTGGTTCGTCTACGGGCTGCAGACAGAGGCATGACCTCCAGATATGGAGGTTGACTGTGACAAATTAGCAGTCGCAGACATACAGCGATGAGACTATCAGATGGGTTCGAACTCAACAAATTCGTTCCTTGGAAAAAAAGTCACAATGCCTAATGCGCCTCATGACGAGGCGAAAGCCTCCTACCCTCCATGTAAGAGAAAATGCAGGATTTGACTAAGTCACCCCTGCCATGCGGTTTGAAGTCGGGTCGTCAAAAACTAGGAGACAAAACTCTGATAAAAGGCCGGACAGAACTGGAGAGACCGTGTGCACGAAATTCGCCAGGTAACCGTCAGCCCTGCGAATAAGCGGTGAAACTTCATAGACTATGACAGTACAAGCGTTGTAGTCGAACACCCGCCAAAACAGGTGATCACGTGGAACCGTCAATGAGGTGACCGAAATAAAAGCGACAGTGAAACATGTACTTATTTTAAATCGTTTTTTTTTCTTCAGTGTCACTTATCGATGGGGGGTAATTTGTTCTTAGATCAGAAGGCATGCCAGGAACGTGAAATTCGATGCAAACTTTGATAAAATAAGCACTAACTCATGACATGAAGTTTGTGACACAAGAAAAAAATTAGTGTAAATCGAATGACTGTCATTTTGCTGATATTAATTCATTTTTTGTCCTTTAAACCCTCCGCTTTTTCGATTTGAATCGAGCTTTAGATAGCTCGCTTATCCCGCAGTGAGAAAGCTCATACTATTTGCAGATATTTCTACTCTTTACTGCAGTTGATACTAACTTTGGATCAAACTAATATTGGCTTTTCAGCAGCGTCTCGTCCAATTCCCTTTGAGGATGGCGCCAGTATTGCTCAATTGATGATAGACCGGAGTTATGGATTAAATTTGCTGAAATTGCTATCCGCATGATCCATAAGAAATGGCAGGCTGTAAATATGAATGAATGAAAAGAAGATTGGCTACAAAATATATTTATCACCAATTACTCGCCAACCGACGTTTCGGTCAATATCGCACAGATATTCATCGGTATGAAGTTCACTACTGATGATTATTGACTGCTAATGTCCCGTTTCAGTTAGAAGGCCGCTGATGAAGGCCTGTGAATGCAGACCGAAAGGTTAATTAATCGTTTATCTATTTAACAATCAGAATTATGCCACTGGTTTATATTTACACTGAGATATTTCTTGCTGTCATAGGCCTTGGTGACTGTCAGAGTGAGCAGCAAGCAACTACTCAATTGTCTTTTACCAGTTGTTGTTTGCTGATGCATCTCGCATCATGATGAACTTATTGAGATCATTAGCTTGAGCCATTTGCATAAGAAGACGTCTCCTAGTTTGTAACATCTGCTGTATTCGCAGCGTTTCAATAATTTCTCTATAAAACATGAGTTATTGCATTACTGAAAGAAGAGTTCCTCTCCTTGGGTCGAAGTGTGTTGTGTTTAGGCTTCAACACGAGAGGTCTACGACTGGAGAAAGTGATTTATGCTCAACCGATTTGTCTAACAGGGTCAGTCTCCTTTTCTTAAATCTTCACATCTGGTGTCGTAACTCGTACCCAGAAGATATTACGGTCATTCTTTAGATAGTCCTGCTATTTAATCCCGATCATGCATCGAAGCCAACGACGCTGTACACAGTTGAACCGCTATTCTTGGTCCTTGGTTTTCTTGCCTAATCTTAGTGACAGACTTAAGGATTCACACGCGGTAAGCTTAGTGTTTATTATCACTCATTTTAAGAGGAAAAAAAACCTAATGTGCTTTCCCATTAATGGTGGTGAAAAATGTAGCACATGTTTAAGGAAAGGCGAATGCAGAAATGTCGTCTATAGAAGCCGGAAGAGTCTGATGATTATCTTCTCTAAAGGCAACACGGCGTGTATCCATGTACAACACGTATTGTAGCAGTATGGAGCTGTGACCTGATTACGTAGCACAATGATCCTTAGAGGCATCAGCCTTCAGAAGGTTAGTGATAGGATGAAAACAGTTCACCGCGCTTTCTCTGGGAATGAAAGGGTGGTTTGATTGGTTCTGATCAGGTTATTGGTTTAAGTGACCTTATAATTTACAGAGCGTTTTGGAGAGTACAAAGAGACACTTTGACAGGTGGTCGAAGGAAGGTACAAAAGGAGAGGTACAAAATACAGCAAATTGTAAAGCTGTTTATTGCCAAGGCGTTTCCCTACACAGACCGTAGCATCAACAGGGCTGGACTCAGATATTTAAGTGTGTGATTACTCTTGCCTGGTTCATTGATTGTTTCAGAATTCATGAAAAGTCATCGCGTTGAAGAAATAATATCTCACAGTATATTGTAAGATATGGTAATATTTAATATCATTTTTACTTGGACGGTTGCGCTCTCGACTAAACGTTGCTTGACTTGATCATAGATCTTGGATTCACGGAAAGCATGCTGCCGGAGTAGTAAGGCGGTGTTTCCATTTAAGAATAAGTCTCTATTTTCTACGTTAAACTGACTCAATCAAAAACTAAAAAATTGCCTCCAGGAACCCAATATGGTTACTTCCCTGTGGAACACCCCTTTAAAGCGGGTAACAAAGAATTTTCGATTCACTGCCTTTATTGAATGGTGCCAATAAATTGCCCCCCTTGCTGACACATCGAACAGCCTGGGTAGATGTCAAGCAACAAAGCAACAGCTGCATTGACACAACTCAGTCACTTGCTGTTTGCTCTTCTGCTTGGGAAACAGCGGTGGTCTCTGCGAGTTGCCACAGCATTACTACAAGCCAGCTGAGACCCGAGGTAAGTTTTACAATTTTAAGTCGGTCACCTGGTCGTGCATATTAATTTTCCTCGTTCCTAAGTTTAATTTAGCAAGAACTTCGGATTGAGTCAAATCCGATGTTTTTTTTTCAAATTATTCTTTACATCGTTTGAGAACATCCGTCTATCGCGGGCGATCGATATGCCCTCAAGCCGTTTTCCGAGTCAACAACTCTGCATAAACGATCCACGCGTTATGCGTGACAGCAAGTCGTTTCGATGTGACATGCGCAGATTGACTCATAGCACGGTTCTGTCCAACAGGCATCTGTGACACGTTGTTTTCTTGCTTTTCCAACCTATTATTGGAGTCGTAGCACTTTTGGGGGCTGGGCTGATCCGTAAATGCCTCGATTCTGGCCGATGCTAAACGGAAGATTTACCATTCTTAACAATCGACTATTGCTTCTGTCACTGTTACTGTTACTTTTATTTTGCTTCCTGGTCTGCTTCTGGTCAAGTGTCTTTCGCGATGGAAGAGCTCTTCGAGTCACCTGCAAAACGATTGTTAAAAATGTTGCTTTTTCAGCATCAAGCAGTTGCTCCTAACCTGTGGAAACGCATATCTGCGGTTGTGAAAGACTCGTTTCATAAAGTATATGCTTATCATTCGGTCGAACTGCCGTTGAACCTTTGCCCCATGTGCTCCGAAGTTGAAAATATCACTCGACCACGGGTAACCTGGATTAACACCTAAACGACGACGTGAAGAACGAAAGTCGGCGTTTTCTGGCATCCATCAGCCGCTGATGTGCTCAACGAATGGCTCCAAGAAGGAATGTGCGCCTGCGGAAGGCTTGTTACAGTTTTCACTTCAAAAAGAGAGTTATCCTTCTTTATCTGCTCCATTTCTAATGTCAAACGTTGTGTACGATTGAGCAGATGAAGTCAGGAAATGCCAGCTGTAGTCAGCTTTCGTTCTGCTTCATGACCTGAGGCACATATCACACCTGCTCCAGTCTGCCAAGGTGCTTCTTAACGTTTTTCATTTCTGTACAAACATAGGTTTCACGAAGCTGCACCAGGGATGATATGGAAGTCACAGGAAACGTTTATGCTGTAATGCTGTACTTCAGTTCAAGCCGTTTCAGTCAGTTCACATCACCGATTTAGAAGGAGTTTGAGATGGAGTGGAAAACCATAAATTTGCGTAAAATGAACTGTCCAGCTCCTTATTGACTTCATGATGTATCCAATTCTTGCAGCAGTGAATAATAAGTATTTTTTGAAAAGTGATTGAACCTCTACTACTGCTACATATCGATTAAATTAAATATTTTATTCTGTACGCATCGACAAACAATTCTAAAAGAGAAACCTTTGCCCTCCTGCTGAAAAGTTCTCTTTTTCCATTTAGCGTCTTCTTAAGTTTATCAATTATTCATTGAATAGAAAATGCTTTTCGCTGCTCTAATCTTATTTTAATAGTGCATGATGAAATAATTATCACCCACCATAGCACATGCTGACATGCTGAATTTTTCCTTCTGCACTCATAAGCAAATTATTTTATTGCTAACGGATTTGCTTTAGAGGTAGCATCAGGGTCTACCAGTTCTTGATTGCTACAGCTTTGTCCGCTGTAGGAAAGGGGCTCCACATCGTCTTAGTGGTGGAGGATAAAAACCTTTGCAGTTGCTCGCTCTGACATACGGTTAAAGCTTCGTTCGTTGCTCTGTCTTCAAGTAGATGCCGATATTGGCTTTCAAGAGGGGTGGCTGTGGCTAATAGAAATATGTCTATTTAGTATAGTGATTAAGTTGGGTTGTGCATAGTTGAAAAAAACGCGAACTGCCTTAAAGCATCTGATATAGATCTGAAGATTTTGTGAAGTAAATTTCCCCAGGTACAGGTGTTGAAAATGCATGAACGTTTGCATTAAAGCAGTTATAAAATATTAATATTTTCACAGTTCAATTATTAAGTAATTTGTTCATGCATTGATGATAATGCTGAAAATAGTACAAACCAGAAGGCCTTCTGGCTCAGAGCGTAAGAAATGCTAGGAAGATGAAAAAAACGTCTGAAGTCAACAAACGTCTCTGTCTTGAAGAAGACTCGTAAGACATGGGTCGAAAATGCCGGTACTCGTCAATCATGAGATTGACTAATTTGTTTACGATGTGTGTAAATGTACCGTATTTCATGCCGTATTCACTATGATTCGATTGTGTACGTAGTCCTCACAGTGGAGATTACTGGTTATGAGCAGGTCAAAATACTAAAATCAGGGGATTGACAAATACTTGATGTCAAAAAAATGGTGTAATGAATAACATTCATCACATCTTTGGCATGGTTAAGACATAAAAAACCCCATAAAATAATTTGACCTAGATTTGCATATTAATATCATCATTTTTCTAAATAAACGATGTCGTTTGTCAATGACGGTGTATTACAGAGTTATACAGGTTACAGTGCTGTATTTACTTGGCAGCCGTGTGTGTTGTTGGTAAAGGCCATAATCGAATTTTAGAAGCCGTGCCTGTGCATTTTGTACCTGCCGCGTTTCATGCTATAAAATAACTGCTATCCTCTAGGGAGAAATAAGAATATAAATAAGTAGGCAATCTGCGCTGGAAAAAAGGGTATATGATTAGGGCAATATTCCATCTGACCTTCAAATTACTTGTGCTGGGCAAACTCGTTTCAGTTATTTCTCTAAATTGCTATTTTGACTTCAAATGCCTCTACAGATGCCATTTTTGCCATAGAGCATAATATCACACAGTTTCCATCTGTCCACTTATCAGTCGGTCAGGTTACCCTTTTGCTCCTCCATTCATATATTTGGAAGCTAATATCCGTTCTGTGCAGTCGTAATAAATTTGTAAAAAATCGCCCACTTTATGGCTAAGTTATAGGTGCCAATAACCAGTAAGACAGTTATTTGGCACGGTCGTTTCGGCACTGAGGTCATCAGTGTCTCTTGATCATGGCCAATGCTTCTGTTGGCGCTACGTCTGTGTCCAAATCCGAAAACCGACGAATTTGTTTTCAAGTTTTTGTCCTCATCCGACTGCTGTCAGGCTCCGTTGTACCCCAGGTGCACTTGTGCTGAATTTTCAACAACCGGTTTTGCACATAATCAACGGCCACATGTTGGTTTTGCGAATGCTCAGGTCACAACATTCCGTCCGATCGTCGTCCATCGCCATCGTCTCAAAACCTGTTCCTGTCGTCAAAACTGACGCCTTGAATGCATGGCATGACGACGATGTGAAAAAGTCACCCGAAACGACGAAAGTGCGAAAATGTGCCTCAGACTTCACTGCGCACAGGGAATGAGGATCAAGGATGACGCTTTGGTCATTGTGTTCATTTCCGAGTCAGTTCCTCTTGCCTTTTCGACGTACGATCAGGCCAACCCAGCGAAGGATGGCCGACGTTTCTACGGCCAAGCAATATCACAGTTTTGGTTTTAATGCATGGGCGAAAGTCGATTCCCTTGCTGCGGTTCATTCGAAGACGAAAACTTAGCGTGATTCGTCTTTCCCAAGTTACTCCAGCTCGTGACGTAATACCTAGCATTAGTATTTGCAACAGAGACCGGAAATGAGCGTCAGGTTTAATCATTTAATAGCATACTGCAATGGACAGACTAGGATCAAAGACGTCACGAAAGAGCGCATATTAAATTGCACTCATTTCTTTTGATTCGCTACATAACCGACAAAGTTCCATAACTGATACATCCTTCAATTGGAAAAAACATGAACATACTCTTATTATAATAGACTAGAAAAGAAGCGACTAAATGCCTGAAAAGAATGTATCGTAAATGACGCCATTGGAATCCACAGCAGCGTGAAGGAAAATCGTTTTGAGTCACAAATGTTAACAAACTAAATATATTATTTTAAAGTTTTGACATTTTTTAATCTACTGGTAGATCATTTTCGATTTTCGATACATACACACCTTTCTAGAAGTCATATGCGGTCAGGCCGCATGGATAAGACGAGGCAACCGATTATGAAACTGTAGAACGCTATTTTCGTTAGAGGCCAAAGTTTGTTGATCCTACGCTAGTAATTCCAATCCTGTGCCGACTTATAATTTTATTGCCAGACAGAAGTTCAGTGGTTGGTTTACCTAAGGCTTGACCACACCTTGTTTCCAGAATAATCGGTCAGTAAATAGGGCATTTTATCTCCAGGTGTAAGACCAGAGATTGAATACCCAACAGGCCGCAACCTTTCATCTTACCAAGCAAGTAAATTGCTGTCGTTTGTGGATCACAACCGGAAACTATGCATTCCGTATTGGCCACCCATTTCTAGACGTACTCTGCGAAAAACGTCACTCCTGCTAGTAAATGTCGAAACGCAAACCAGGGGCAAACTATAATGACGATGAAAGGGGATGTATGGATGACCGATGTATCATGGAGGTATACATTAAAGCGACATCATGGGATCACAAACTTTTTACCATGTTGTAGAGTGGTACCATACTACTGCACTATAGAAGTGAAAAGTAGATCTACAGTAAGCGGTTAAAAACTGCTTCGCCTTTCCCTACGGTATAAGAATCGAATAAGGCTCATAGTGGAATTGTTACGTGGCCAGAGTGAAGTACGACGGAGTGCTCATGCTATGTGTCATGGTACCTTATTAATAAGGCTTATTAACAGAAGAGCAGTAACTATCTCTGACAGAGCTCTTCGTTTCAACCAAAGCTTCGGTACCTTTCTCGCCAGTCACGCTTAGGAGAGGTCATAACATTAACTAAGACAGTATTCAAAACAGATTTTCAAATCACTAATTGGAAAAACGTAGCGATAAGTCACAGAACCCTCAGTATGCGTTAACTGAAGTGCTTCTCTTCACATAATAGACCTGAACCGAATTCCTTTAAGGGAAAAATTAACCTCTTTTTGCTTCGACGGAATCGACCGACAAACAGGTAATAAGCCGCTAGCCTACGAAAAATAGGAACCGCATGCCATTCTGGACTGGTCCTGACAGAATGAACGAGGTATACGGTCATGCGGTCTGATGAAGCGCCCCCCCCCCTTCCCGCCTCTGTGGCTGCATTTCGCACTGACCTACATGACAGCTCTTCAGCCAGTATAGCAATTAGTGAAAGATGTGATTCTGATTTCGAGTGTGTTTCTACTTGAACTGGTACACATAATTCTAATATAATTATGACAATTAATTCAGCAATCATTAATAAATTAGCCGCACAGTTCTACGATGCCGTTCGAAGGTCAAGAATGCACAAAATACGCATTTAGCGTTGGAATCGACACAGCGCAATTGGGTCCTCTAAAAATCTTGATTCGTACATAAAATCAACACTGCGTTCGGCAGATCAGTTTGAAAAAGTGTCAGCAGTGTCAGAATCTGGCGTAGTAAAAGACTACTGTAATTGTTTCCTTCAAATGATAAGGGAATCAATTAGTGGCGAAAAGGTGACCGGCGACGAAACAGTGCTGAGTTGCTGGCCAACAATGCGCATTTTAGTTGCCAAGGAGACCCGGACGTACGCATTTTCGTTGAAGGCACAGGAAGCGCGTAATTCTGAATTTAAATGCTCGATTCAAATCCACGTTGCATGATTCATCGACGTCCATTTGTGTGCAAAGAGCAAACGTTGTCATTCTGCCCCCCCTCCTCCAAAACTGTTCCTCTTTGCTGGTACTTATTTGTGCCCAATTGACAAACCAGCACACGGCTTTTTTACCACTATATTGCAGAAACGATGCCGCTCGATGACAATCGATCAATGATGAAAATAGATTGGTAAGTGCTAGGCGGTCAATTGTTAGAAAAACAAACCCATGAAGATACCAGCCGTAGGAGGTATCGATTTATTTTCAGCAAACTATAGTAAAAGGCAGTCTAAATAATTACGAACTTTATTCCTTTTGCACTTATCCTCTGTCTGATCCTGCATTTGTCATTAGCTCGTTGCCACAAGGGGTTGTCAGCGAATCCAATCGTCAATCTATTCATCTACAATTGACTGCGATAGAAATGCCTTATTCAATTCAAAAAACTTTCCACCATCATTGAACGATTCGCATGACTCTGATTTGACATATGTAAGAAGTTTATTTAAGGATTAATATTCTCTCCAAGCTGAGACCAACATTCTATAAAAGGCCATTAAAGTCATAACTCAAAATTTGCCATTTACGAATGCGCACACACATTCACTGTTGATTTATAATTTAAATGAAACTTGCTGATTCTACGCTTCTCCATGCAGCAAGTCGAAAAATGCTTGAAATCTTTATTTTGAACCAAACAGTGCTGGTCATCGAAACACCAAGTTATCTATTAATTTACTTTCTAACTTTTAATTACCTACTTGCTTCGCCTCTTGTTTACTTCCGAACTTCCTTTTTTATTAACATCTCTCCTCACTTATTTACTTGTTGGCATACACACGCAACAGTCACCTTAATTTGTTCTTTCTGTTCAACTTTCTTTACTTACATGTATGCTTACTGAAGCGCTTCAAATTTGCTCATTCCCGTCGCCTATACTTAAGTAAATGCATCTGCATATTTGATCATGCGTTAATTTTTTCCATATATCCTTTCAACCAATGACGCACGTAGTTACTTAAATACGAGCTCACACAGTTCTTTGACATGAGCTCACTTATTTACTTTATTCGTTCATTTCCATTCGTTGTTTAATGATTGTTTGCTTTGAGGATGACCAGCGTAGTTTAGTTGAAACGTTTCCAGTTATGACAAATATCATTATTTGTTTACCAGTGTATGATTGTTGAAATGACAATTTTTGGCGATGAAGACACAAAATTGAAACCAGTTTAAGCAGAGATTTCATGGATTCAAATTGATCCTCAATCTTGCAACTTTTTCTTACCAACGCAACCTCTGGATGTTGAGTTTTACGGTCATTTTCCCGATTTTATGGAAAATTTCAATTTTTGCTGCCCGGCTTTAAAGTTAAACGTGAAAAATATTGCACAGTGGTGGTGTATTTTTGCATCCATGCAAGGGGCTCAAATTCTATGGAACCATGATCTGCTTAAACGCAGCTAAAAACAAAGAAACGGCGCAATTTGCCACGATAAACTGGTTTGGTGAATCTGAATATTATGCATTTAATTGGCTGTGACTTATATTCGATTAAACTGAAGTTCACCCTCAGTATTTTGACCTCACTGATTTTAACCCATAATTCGATTGCCGTCTTCTTTGATCATTTCTGACAGCCAGCAGCTTATTGGGAATACCTGACACTATGCTTAATGTAGGATTGATTTTTTTCATTGTTCCACTGCTTGTCATTGTATGGATTTGACTGAGGCTGATTCATTGATAAAGATCAGTCAATCGTCAAAGTAGCTTGGCCGAATAAGCTCTGGCGATTGGTCGCGAGATGGAATTCCGGCTAGTCACTCGATATGCATTCTTCCGATGTATAACCAGTAACACATAACTCACCCAGAACCGGGTTTCACGGCTCATTGCACTCTCCATTGCCTGAAGGGGGGGGGGCATTTAAAAAGACTATGGCTCCAAGGTACATAAACGTCCGCAATGTCAGACGCATCTAACATCATTTTGCTTGCTCGCGCGACTTCGCGCTTTCCACGCACGATGTATACGAAAATGTCAGCCTTTATATGCCATAACATGAATATGAGAAAATGCTCGTTTGCCTGAGTATGTCAGATACCATGTAATTCGTGAACGGCCAGATTTTATGTCATATTGCATGGCTCTCTCGCTCCTTAGGTACAACAAATGTGGCTTCGTGACCAGGAAACGGAGAATGCATGCTGTGCTGCATCATAACTATGGATAACGGTCTATTATTACAAGTCCATATTTGCATATTGACGACAGTTGCTTCTTGAGGTTTTTCTTACGAGCTTCAATACCAACGTGATGCATTTGAAAACTGACCCAATCATCATCAGAACATGTCACGATATATTAAACGTGGTCATCGATTCAGAAGTGCACAGCATGGTGCCTCATTCGGGTGCGGGTGTCTGGTTGAAGGCGAAGCCAGAGACTGAAACGTGTTTGCGAGTACAAGTGGTGCCGCCGTCCTATCGTCGGTTTCGTCGCAGCACGCCGGTTCTTTGTCCTGAAAATCAACATTGCACCGTCGAGATTGTTTACTTGGTGTACACAAAGTTCGGGTTCGGTCAGCGCCATGCCCATGCCATGCCTGTGCACAGAACGACGCTCAGAATTTCCACTA